CCATTTATTTACACTTTCTTCATATCCCTCGCCAACTTTTGTGACTTTCTTCCTCTATATCTTCACAAGTTTTGTTATATTAGTTCTTTCTAGATTTTTTTATGTTGTGGCTCTATTTCTCCTGGGATGCATTCTAACTGATTATTACTGAACTCTGGAAAAGCTATTGGTTACTATAAGGGAGGCATTTATTTTGAAATCATCCAGTTATTAAATTAGTCTAGTAGTTTATTGATTTTCTTTAGTTTTTCAGAAGAACATAACCATCATTTTAAAGTTAGGATGTTTGACCCTCTTTCCTGTACTGACACCTGTCACTAGTTTTCTTGTGTTATTGTGATATCTATGGCATTGCTCAGTACAGTAGTCACTAGCCACCATGTGGCTACTGACATTCAAGTTTAAATTTCATTTAAGTTAAATGAAATTAAAATTTGAGTTCCTCAATAGCACTAGCCACATTTCAAGTCCCCAGTAGCCATATGTGGCTGGTGGCGACCATTTAGCTACCATTTTAGAATATTTACATCACCACAGAAAGTTCTACTGGACAGCTGCTAGAACTTTCAGACCCATATTAAATAAAAATGGTGAAATGCATTGTCCTGCTTTTCTCTTCCCAACTATAAATACCTCTACATAGTGATTTACTATTAAATGATGTTGAGTTTTGAATTCAAGTATCTAGATATATTTTTTTATGATGCTGAAGAAGTTTGACCCTATTCCTAGTTTTCTAAAGCCATATATTTTTAAAATTTGGAATGGATAATGAATTTTGATACCTTCTTGGCATGAAAAAGTTTTGCTCAGTGAGAGAAAGTCCTACTCATTCTTCAAAATTGTCTTACTGATGCTGGCTCTTTTTTACATACACTGTTGGATTTTATTTACCAGCATTTAATTAGATGTTTGTCATAAATGAGCTTAATCTCATATATTCTCTGCCTCTAGTATCTTTGTCCAGTTTTTAAAAAATGAAGATTATATTATTATAAAATGAATTAAGATGCTTTTTCTCTATATTTTGTATGTTTTAGATATGGGCCATCTGTCCCTTCAAGTCTTACAGAATACAGGTGAAACAAACCTGGCTCTGGTGCTTTGGGTGGACTTTTCTTGTCTCTCTCTTCCAGTTCATGCATTTCATCTTCACCTATGTCTAATCACACTGCTAAATCCATGCATTAAGTTGTATTTCAGTGAATACATTTTGTTCAGCTCTAGAATTTACATGAGGTTTTTCTGCAGAGCTGCCTTTGTTGGATATTCTCCCCCTTTGGTCTTTACATATTTCAAATATGTTTATTGACATTCTCTTTCAAATTGTTCTCCAGTCCTTTTTCTTGCTTGCTCTCCTGCTTCTCCTACCCATCTTCATGTGTTTGCTATTTGATGCTATGAGCCCTTCTTCAGAGGGGGTTGTTGGCTACAGGAGTGCTGGGGGTTGGGCTAGCTCTGCATTGCCACTGCCAGGGATCAGAATGATCATGGACACATTTTGGGGTTTGTGTCCTGACTTGGTGCTTCTGTATCATGTGGGTAGTATAATATCTTACCTTCATTCCTCTGATTCTTTGAGTCACTGAGAGAATGTTCCAGTCCTAGTTAACATGCAGTACAGCCCCTTAGAGCTGCCCTGCACAGGCTGATGTTCTATGTCTGTATCAACATTGGGATCACAGCCTGCAGACCCCCAGGACTGGACCCTCCATGGTTTTACATCCTGCTTAGATTTTGCATTCCCTTCTTTTTGTTTCCTATACCCGAGGGTTTCCTTCTTTTTTTGGGGGGGGGGGGTTCCTTCTTTTGAGCAGGGCCACACATTACAATTTTTAAAATCATATTTCATCCAGAATTTCTGGATCTATTACATTGAATGCAGGTCCAGAAATTGTTTTAGATTTCTAAGTGGTTGATTTGTTGACTTTATTTTTAGGCAAAGGCATGGAAAATGGGAGAGAAGTAGGTATTAACCTAAGCATTTTACTTTCTGGTTATGTTTATCATAAAATAATATATTTAAGTAACTTCTACTTTTTGGCATTAATATGCTGGCATTTTATTTGTGCCAGTACCATAAATGTTTAAGGCTATTCATAGCCATTTAAAAACATATCTATACATCTGCTCTCTATCTTTAATTTGTTATTACTCATTCAAAGACTTGGAAAGTCGTGTTAGTATCTCCCACTATAAACATAATTTTTCAGTTTGTTCTTTTATGTTTAACAGTTTGGCTTCATATAATCTGCTGTTGTATTATTCATGGAAGGCTCCAGGGCCTGGATCATGTTTGAATTGGCTGGAGCCATAACAGCCCTAGGTTTGTTACTGAGCCATCAATTAATCTTTTTCTGATCAGTAATGGCATTCTATTCTCTTTCTGTTACAAAAGGTAATGCAGCATTTAGGAAAAAAATCTTGAAAGACAAAATGCATACTGTAAAAATGAAAATGGATAACAGTTTGAAACTTGGGATAGAGAGATAGAAAAGGAGAATGGGAAAAAGGAAGGAATCTAAATTCGTTTTATTTCACAGAGATGACTCAACAGAGACTGTTATATCCATAAGGTTGAGAGAATAATGTAGATTTGACTATGTTGTATCCTTTATCTTTTATCTATCTATCTATCTATCTTTTATCTTTTCTGCCTACCATATTTCTTGTTCATATTCTTTACTGAATGAGAATGAGCAGGTGAATTAATAAATGAAGGACAAGTGGTTTTTTTTTTCAAATTCTAACATTTCCCCCTTGTAATGTTTTTTTTTTAATTTTTTATATTTATTTATTTTTGAGAGAGACAGAGACAGAGACAAAGCATGAGTGGGGGAGGGGCATAGGGAGAGGGAGACACAGAATCTGAAAGAGGCTCCAGGCTCTGAGCTGTCAGCACTGAGCCCGACGTGGGGCTCTAACACCCGAACCACAAGATCATGACCTGAGCCGAAGTTGGACCCTCAACTGACTGAACCACCCAGGCGCCCCTTCCCTTAGAATGTTTCTAATAACCATATGTTCAAGAATAGGAGTGTTGCTTGTGGGATGAAATATGGTTAAATCACTGCCGTCCTCAGCTCCAAACTGTTAGCACTGTGCGGCAAGCACAATTAGGCTTGTGGCCTCAGCCAAATCCCTGCCCCTATGGCCTTTACTTGTTTTGAATATGAATGAGATGGAGAGCCTGTGCAGGTATTTACAAGTATATATTAGGAAAGAAGGGGAAGAGGGAAAGAGAATGAGCTGGGTTTCCAAAGAAAGAAAATTTCCCAAAGAAGCTGGAAAACAGGCCTTCAGAATGTCACTCTACAAACCCAAAGTAAATCTGCATTTCATGTTATGCTAACATAGCATCTCTGTGTAACCTTTCAGGCAATGGCAACACTACACTCCATTTTCATTCATCTCTAGAGAAGGGTTGGGTCTGAAGGCTCACTTGTGTGCGAAACCTACTTTGTAGGCGTGATGTCTTTGAGGTTAACCCTCAGGAGTTTCTGATCTTAGTTAAATTTGAGATTTTGGCTAAGAAGAGAGGGAAAGAGTGCTTGAAAAATATCACAATCAAAAGGGGAGAAAAAGGACAAACTCAGTAGAGGGCACAGGTCCAACTTTCACACTATGACTACTCAGGGACTTTTCAAAATGTTTTCAAATAGCATGTACTTTTTAGATATGTGAGAGCATTTCAAGGCAAGTATCAAGAAAACTAACTGAATGTTTCAAATGTTTGGAATTATTCCAAGGCCAGGAATTCCAGATGTTTGTAAGGAAGCCATGGCCTATCTCTGTTTAAATATTTAAGTGAGTTTTAAGATGTTAAGGAGGAAAAAAGACATACCTCTCAAGTCTTCCTTTTTATTTTTATTATTATTATTTTTTATTTTAGAGAGAGAGCATGACCAGGGGAGAAGGGCAGAGGGAGAGAGAGAGAGAAGCAAAGAGAGAGAGAGAGACAGGGAGAGAGAATCTGAAGCAGGCCCTAGGCTCACTGTGGAGCCTGACGTGGGGCTTGATCCCACCATCCTGGGATCATGACCTGAGCCAAAATCAAGAGGTGGACACTCAACTGACTGAGCCACCCAGGCGCCCCAATTCTTCCTTTTAAAAGCAAAATAGGCTATGCCATAAGGCTATCAGGAGGTCGACACTCGAGTCAGTGCTGAGTCAAAACACATGTGTCTGTCCATGCTCCTTGATCCTTCTACTTCTTAGTGCTATTGCGGCAAAAAAGATGTGAAGTATTTAAAAGGACATAGCATTATACAAAATGCAGTGTATTATTACCGTTTATCACCGCAGATACTGAATCAATAATTATCTGTGTGATGGATATCAGATGTGAATAATAACCAGGGCTCCTGGCCATCTGTCCCCTCCATAACCAGACTTTCCCAGCTCTCCTGGACAGCTACATGACTCACACATGTCTTTAAATTAAGAACTTGCAGGCTACAAATGTCTTGTAACAGTGCCAGTGTTATGATAATTCATTTTTTGCATGAAATACGCTCAGTTTTGCTTCCATCTTCCTGTATGTCATGTCAGGTATTCACCATGATGAGAGTTTCTTGGCTACTCCAGGTAAGATTCATCCAGATTGAACAGACTTCCAGAATCTACACATGCAAGCCTAACAGTTTGGCTTTTTGGTTTATTCAGAATCAATAAATTCAGACCATCTATTTTTCACTCTTGACAGTACCTAGTACTTTGTTAAGGAACATCAAGCTTCCCAAGCTCTAAGCAAGAAGCGCCAGCATGGCCACCAGAGAGGGAGTAACTTAGCGTAGGCATCAGTGGACAGAGAAACAGGTGCCCTGCTGCCTCTCCTGATGGGACACCTTAGGGGTCGCTATGGCTTTACGGGACGCTTCTCTGGCAGGGAAGGCCCTTCTCTGTGCGGTCCCCTGTGGGTGGCCATGCTGGCAGATGGAGAGCTGGGAATCCCTTCCCCAAAGCAGGCAGAAGAAACCCACAAGTCTGCAAGAACTTACTGAGTGTGACTGACTCGTTGATCTTGAAGCTGCAGAGAACCCTGTCCACGTTTCGGGCGTGCCGGAAGCCGTTTCCTCTCACGACTACTTGAAATGATTCTGAAAGAAGGAAGGACAGGTCACATCATTTGACTGCAAACCCTTAACCTTAAGTTTGCCATCTGCCCTGATGCAGTGCATTTGTTAACTGTTTCACCAGGCTTAAAATATTAGGAAATTGGTTCAGGTTGGAAACCAAAAGCAACCACGAGGGTGCCTTTTACCACGTCTGTCTCACCAGGTGCACAAGAGGAAGGTGTACGATTTCTTACTTTAAATTCCCGCCTTCTGGCCTTTGTTCTCTTCCCCTACCCGGAATGCCCTCCTCTCCGCTTCTCTGTCCGTTCAAATCTTACCCATCTCTCAAGTCTTGACAGCTTTAAAAACTGTAATCCCTGCAGCCCGGGGGGCCACAGAGGAGGGGGCTCTCCACTTCTCCTCCAATCTACTCAGCATCTCTTATGTCTGTTTTGCATACTAGATCCCCCTGAAAGGCTTTCTTTAGAGCCCAAGGTGCCTCAAAGTTTTTGAAAATCACTGCCTATGGCATTCACGGTCTGTCCTGAATGGTGTGTGGTAAGTGACTATGGAACTGTCAGGGGGTGGTGTCTTTTCTTCCATAACTAGCAAAATGTTGCATTAGGTCACAAATTATTTGATGCTGCTTCAGGTCCTCCTGTCTCTCTCTGCTGGGCACACCTAGGATGACGTAGGAATAGTCGTACTTGGCAACAAATCAGAATCTTGCTTATCCAGTGGTCATTCTCCAGCCTTATCTGCTTGAACTGACTATGGCCCTTCAATGTAGCACTTGCTTTTTCTCTATATAGAAAGAATATATCTTGCAGGTCTCTGGCCCTGCATGTCAATTTCACATTGGCATAATGCATGTAGAACTCATATAGGTTGAGAAAATCCCTATGAAGTAAAAATCATGATCCTTTATGATAGTCTTACAAAAAAGAAAAAAACAGCTAATTTATTAACTAAATGTTTAGAAATATTTACTTAAGTTTGATAGTAACTAATAGTCCATGCTCTTCTTTCTCTCTCTCCCCCCCTTTCTTTTTTCTTTCTGTCATCTTTTGTGTATAAAAATTCCTGGTGGCTCAGTTGGTTAAACATCTGACTCTTGGTTTTGGCACAGGTCACGATCTTACAGGTTTCTGGGTTCAAGCCCCATGTTGGGCTCTGAGCTGACAGAACAAAATCTGCTTGAGATTCTCTCTCTGCCCCTCCCCTGCTTGCTTTCTGACTCTCAAAATAAATAAACTTTAAAACTGTTGGTATATGAAAAAGAAATAGACCAAAAATCAGAAGAAAATGCAATATTTGTGAAAGTGACTCTTGAACGGTAAATTGCTATACAAATGGACATTTTTGTTGGAGGAAGAATGAGATTAAAGAACTACCATAGGGGACTCTTCCAAACTTTAATAAGTGTCATGAGTCCACGTCACTTTCATTCCCAGGAAGCTAATTTAGAGATCATGTTTGCCAAGATAACAATACTGGATGCTAATCATGGCCTCACTGTGTGCCAAGTCCTGTGCTCAGCCTTATATATGTCCAATGTCACTTCAGCCTCAACAACAGTCCAGGGAGGTACAAATGAGAAAGCTGATCTTAGTGAGGTTAAGTAATTCATCCCACACACAGGCTAGCAGCTGTCAGAGACAAGCCGGAATCCAGGTGCATCAGGCATCAAATGCCATCGCCCCAGGACACAGCCATTATGCTGAAATGGATCTTCATCGTCTTGTGACCTATGACCAGTTTCGAGACTGAAGTTGTGATTTTTAAAAAGTTATTTTATTTTCATTTTAGACAGGTGTGCTGTTTTAAAAACGCAAGCAAGAGAACCCAGAGGCACTGCATGGCCACAAAGAGTACAAGTTAGAACAGAATGCTTTGTAGAAGTAAAAAGGACCTTAGCAACACGAAAATTGAGATTTTGACATTTTAAATAACTTGCCCAAAGTCATGTGATTTGTAAGCAGCAAAACTAGAACTCTATCCAAGTGTTCACTGCCTTGGTATTGAACTATGGTAATTAAGATCATGGGCAAATGGTTTTTCAGGACCTCATGTCCTATGAATATTAAGGATTTACATATGCATCTCGATGCAATTGCTAAGTTTAGAAGGACGGACCTGATTTTCTCTCAATGTCTGCCGGGCACGTGACTGATGACACAGTTATTTCAACAAGCATTCTGTTACATGTTAGACATTGTGGAGGAAACTTATGGTATCTTCTTTACTCATTTAAGCCTACAGAAACCTATTTCTGTTTTTTGTTTTGAGTATCAGACATCCAGGAATCCTCCATTGGGCACTTTTGCTGATGCAAAATGTTTTCGGCCTCACTGCCGTGCTACTTCTCTTGTTTCCTCAAACATCAGTGGAGGGAGACAAGATTCTGGAAATGCAGGCCACATGCCAAGCTCTCTTCTCTAACACCATGTTCTAGCATTACCAGTTTAGCTGCTGAGTCTTCTATAAAAAAGACTGCCCACATGTCTGCTTGGCCTGACCTCAGCGTGTTTAGAAAGAAAGACAGCCGCAATCCATGACGTGGTGATGGTGGAAAGCGAACAATTTAACCCCCTCAGCCCAGGGAGAAGATGGAGGAAATGATGCTCTGGGAACCACACCAAAGCAGAGGCGCGCTCCCTCCCTGCCGGGTATGATTTCTGTGTTCGTGCGCACATTTGGTTTCCAGAAGGGCCCAAACATCTGCCCCTGCAGCCCTACTGGAATGTCAGCTCTTCACACATGCAAGTTATGTAACAAACTCTGTCCCACGAATCTGCCAGTAAGTGAGAAGCAGGGCAGATGATTTACGTTCATTTATCCAGAGAGCCCCGAACCCACCTTTCACAATATGTACAGCCAAGTGTTTTTAGGCAATTGGCCTGTTGGGTAATTGCTCCTATAACAAGTACGTAGGCATTGTAGGGCTTTAGGGAGGAATTTCTACTTGGAAATGATCTTTAGTCTAATCTTTTTAAGGTATATATTCTTTAAGATATATGTTTATTATGATTCTTTCTTCACTTTATTCTCAAGTATAATTTAAACTTCTTGGGGGGCGCCTGGGTGGCTCAGTCAGTTGAGTGTCTGACTTTGGCTCAGGACATGACCTCACAGTCCATGGGTTCGAGCCCCACATCGGGCTCTGTGCTGACAGCTCAGACCCTGGAGCCTGCTTCTGATTCTGTGTCTCCCTCGCTCTCTGTCCCTCCCTTGCTTGTGCTCTGTCTCTCTCTGCTTCTCAAAAATAAATAACATTAATAAATAAATAAATAAACAAACTTCTTGACAGTAGAGGCCATCATTTCTATTTCTTTAAAATTTTTGACGGTGCCTAATCCAGGGTTGAGCCAGTCTCAGTATTAAAGAGTAAATAAATGACACATCATGGTACAGGAAGGGAATAAAGAGGAAGGAAAAGAAGGTCATTTAATCATGTACGATCAGGTCTAATCCTGCTTGTGTTCTGAGGCTTCTTAAAGTCAACAAATGAAGAGATGCTCACCACCATTAGACATTAGGGAAAATGCAGATCAAAGTCACAATGAGATGTCACTTCATACTCACTAGAATGACTATAATAAGGATGGACAAAAACAAGTGTTGGTGAATGAATTAGAACCCTTCGACCTTGCTACTGGAAATGCAAACTGGGGCACCTGCTCTGTGAAACAGTGTGGCAGCTCCTCAAACAGGTAAACATAGAGGTATCTTATGACCTAGACATTTCACTCCTAGGTATGTACTCAAGAGAAATGAAAGTGTGCGTCTACACAAAAACTTGTACCTGTGTGTTCATAATGGCATTATTCATAATAGCAAAAAAGCAGAAATAATTCTAATGTCCATCGACTGATGGAGATGGTATTCATACAATGGAATATTATTCACCCATAAAAGGAATGACGTTCTGACACATGCCATGACATGGATGAATCTTGAAAACACTATGCCACATGAAAGAAGCCAGATGTGAAAGGCCACATAATGTCTGATTCCATTCCATTCCGTTTCATTTCCATATGAAAAGTTTAGCAAATCCATAGAGACAGAAACTCAACTGGCAGATGCCAGGGCTGGAGGAAAGAGGAAAGGGGAGTGACTGCTTAATGGGTATAGGATTTCTTTTTGGGGTGACGAAAATATTCTGGAATTAGATGGTGGTTATGGTTGTACAACTTTGTGTATATAATAAAAACCACCAGATTGCAGTTTTTGAAAGGGTGAATTTTATAGTATGTGAATTATAGCTCAATTAAAAAAAGAAAAAGTGAAGTCCATGCATAGTTGGCTAAACTTATTCTGTCCCCTCTTTTTGTTTCTTTGCTTTTCTTTTTTACCTTTTTAGTTTTTGAAATGTGGAACACATAGTTTTGCAATGACCTCAATTAAGATCACTTATTCTTCACTGTATCTGAAAATGAGAAATCTTTATATTCTCCATTTGTTCTGGCTGCCTAAGACTTTTGTGCAAAATTATCATTACTGATATTTCACCTTGTGAGTTAGCTTGAATTTGCTTTCCTATCAGATGCTTAATGTGACATGACACACATAAACATAATAAAGACTGGTGTGTATGAAGTACCTTCTGATGCCTAAATTATTCTAGAACTTTTTGATTTTATAGCTATTTAATTATAATAGCTTTCGTGAGGTATAACTGACATACAATAACTTGCACATAAAGTATATTGCTTGACAAATTTTGACATATGCATATAATCATGGGACAATACCACAATCAAGACAGTGAACACATCCACCACTCTTAAAAATTTCCAAGCACTTCTTTGTAATCTCTCTCTTCTGCCCCTCCCCACGACCATGCAACCACTGATTTCCTCTCTGTTGTTGTATTAGCTTGCAGTTTCTAGAATTTTGTGTAAATGGCATCATACAGTAAATACATTTTTTTTTCTGGCTTCTCTTACCCAGCACACTTATTTAAAAATTCACCCATAATTATTTTGAGATTTATGCATAGTCTATCCCCTTTTATTGCTGAGTATTATTCATTATTT